ACTTTATCTTCAAAAAGAAGAATATGTGGGGTGAGCCTCAATAAGGATTTGAATGTACACTTTCTCAAAGACAAACATACTATTTCTGTTTAAGGAATCCCAAATCAAAACTGTGCTAATGACTTACTAAATGCATCTTTCAAAGTAGCGGGAGAATGAAAATAAGTGGGGCCCAATACATGTTTGTATAGTTTTCACAGCATATGTTTCTATATAAAATTAGTTTCAATATGATCCAAAATTGTCTCCTGTAGTCTCAGAACACTCAGTATTTTCATAATTGCTTCTGTACTTTTTTACCAAGTAATTGAATACATAGTATTTCACTGAGTTACACAAAACAATTCAATCAATAGATTGTTGCTTTTACAGGGAGCTTATTTTGCCTGGAAAGCAACAGCAATGGGAAAAAATTACGTCAATGGGAAGACATTTCTTGAGAAAAGGTAATGTATTTGATAACTCTGAAAGGATACTGTGTTCTGTTTGAGTTTCCTATAAAATAGCCAGATTTTAAAAAATGCCCTCTTTTTAAATTGTAAGAAGAAAGTTTTAAAATACCGAAGGTACAAGTACACTTCCAGTGTACTTGTTTCCGTGTGCATGGGAACTTTGTTTTATTTAAACTCCAACTTTTGTGTTTATGTAGTGTTAATTGAGTGCAGTAAACATTATACTTAGCAGATTTGCAGCAATGTTAGCAGTGTCAGTAGCAAAAGTAGGGATTTTTTAATAAACAAATAATAACTTTGACTATTAATGCCGCTCTGCTTACAAATAATATTTTTATGAGAAAAAAAAAGATTTTAATAGTTTTGGGGATTTCAGAGACTCTGGGATTATTAAAGTTTGTAGAGGTTTTTGTCCTGAAATAAATTAATGTCTGTTTACAGATACAATGAAGATTTGGAGCTTGAAGATGCCATTCATACAGCTATCTTAACACTAAAGGTTAGCAAAGTATTTGAGAAAGAAGTTTCTTATGTCTTCACTGATGTGATTCGCTGAACTATATTTTTTTTTTTAATAGGAGAGCTTTGAAGGGCAAATGACAGAAGACAATATTGAAGTTGGCATCTGTAATGAAGCTGGTTTTAGGAGGCTCACTCCAACTGAGGTTAAGGACTACTTGGCTGCAATAGCCTAGTAGAAACTGAGGTAGACTGTGTGGTCCACACAAAGGTCTTTTTAATTTTGGCTACTTAAATGTTTTTCTTTGCAGTTTTTGCATACTTATTTCTACATGGTTTGTCTGAGAGATTTTTTAAACATCATGGGTGCAAATACAACGGTCCTTGATATTGTAATACATGGAATCTTGTTAAAGATAATTCTTTCCCTTGATACACAAAATACTGTACAAAATGT